AATGAAACGGAAGGAGAAAAAAAAAACGAAAAAGAAAAGCAAAGGAACAATGCAAGTGAAAAGAAAGAGTTTTAAAAAAGAAAAAGATAGTAAACAGAAAAGAAAAGAAATAAATATACACGAGAAAAAAAGAAAGAAAGGAAATAAAGAAAAGACATAGAAGAAAAGACAAGGAAAACGAGAAAGAAGAAAAAAATGAAAAAAGAAAAGAAAACAGAAAGATACATATCAAAAGAAAGGACAAAAGTGCGTTTCATGTTTCATTTGACACACACACGCGCTGACACACACACATATATATATATATATATATATATATATATATATATATATATATATATATATATATATATTGGAAGTGCTATCTGATGATCCGGCATCCTTTAAAAGGGCTCTGGTGAAATAAATTATTATAATGGTACCTTAAAGTGGTCTGTTTTTCTTTTAAATATTAGCTCTGGATTTACATTGAGCTCTGAAGATTTCATCCACCTTGGGATTACCCATACGGATTTCAAGTTCTTCATAACTTAATATATATATATATATATATATATATATATATATATATATATATATATATAAAGAAAAGAACAGTAAGATATATAATCTGGTGTTCTTATAGATATTTTATTTTTACAAAATAGTGCTCAATGTAAATTTACAGAGCATTAATATTAAAAAATTAATTGATTTAAAATATGTTTTTTTTTCGCTACACAGTTCTAACCATGTTTTAAAAATGGAAGCTAAAAGCTTTGAATTTAATTTTGTAATTAAAGATATTAGTTCCATTTCATCCTCAATCGAATTTTGGTGTAACTTATTACTGGGTTTTAAAAGCACATCAAAAATCTTAATTCACCTTTCCAAGGATACAGAGAGACCCATATATATATATATATATATATATATATATATATATATATTACGATAAACGTGCAATCAATTTACAAATACATGAATTATTCACACAAAAAACTAATGCAAAAGGTTAATGATTTTTAAATGGCGAGACATCCATCATCGCAAACAATTCAAATAATATACAAAAAACCTCGAATCCGTTATGAATGAAATGATCCTTGTTTATATAAATTTCTGCCGTATTAGTTTTTATTTTTACTACAAGCTTTCGTCTGTTCTTACAGACATCTTCAGGTATAGAATAGATGTTGTTCTTGTTTTTTCTCTTAGTAATAAGAGGACAACGAAAATATATGTATTGTTGTATCCGAAAATGCTATTGAAAATGAGTTATTGTTTTTGGAACGCGCAGAAGCAACGCTGAGTTTGATTTTGAATTTTTAAAGGTTGATATATCAAGTATAACTGGAGAATTGCCCAATCGTGTCACAGCAAAATTGTCCAATTATTAGATTAAGCTTTCTACCGTTGTCACTTATTAAAGATATATTACTGGAATTCTCCGAGATTTTTATAAGACTATTGAACTCTACTTTGAACAATAAGAATGTAGTAAGCTGTAAGTTGAAACGATGATCCCTCTTCCTGTTCTGACTTCCTGATCCAATTTTCCTCCCTACTGTTCCCTTCTTTTTAAACTCATTCTCCGTTCTCTTGATGATTCTTGAATGGACTTTGAAGATGGAAGCCAGACTTTGAATGTTGCTACCATTACTGAAAGTCTGAATGAGCTTTTTTTCCTCTCACCATTGCTCACTTGGTAAGACATAGTGGGGCTGACACAAAACGATTTAAACCTGTTCTCTTTCTAGCTGAATAACTCAAAGGGTTTTTCAGAGATTCTTACGACAAATGGTGTCAAGATGGCTAAACGTCTTATCTGAAAACCTGGAAAAAAGGAATCTTAATTAGTTTAGAGGGGTTTTAGATATGAAACATTTTGTGGGATGCACAATTATCCCAAGCTGTTACACGATTTGGACAATTTTGCAGTTAGACCCGTAACTTAGGAGACGGTTCTACAGACCAGCGATTTGCAGGAAGACGCTGCTAAAGTGGAGCTTACATCTCACGAATGGAATACGAAGAGAATGAGGGTGGTTCGCTAGAATGGGCGTGTCATGGCTGGTCTTAGGCGTCAAGGTTAGAACTAGTGGCACCAAGGAATGGAAAATGGAAACCAAAAGGAAATTTACACTAAACATCAGGAAGAGACAGCTGAACATTTCTCGGGCACCATACATACTAAAACTTCCATTATCTTGAGACGAATATCAGATAAGTTATTTACTGCCGAACAGTAGAGGAAGTTGTATGTGTTCATTATATATATATTTTGTATATTTTGCTTAGAAATCAATGAAAGGAACTTGGAACTTACGATGAACATGCCATGAAGAGATTGAGTGTTTTAAGATCCAGAAGAGATTCAAGCATAGATTATCTGCTACCTTAGTGTAATCTATCATTAGTGCGTTCATTGAAGATCGTTGCCACATCCGGGGTGATGCTTTTATGTACCTAGAGTAGTGTTTCTTAGCCTTGTCGGGGGTACTGAAGTTTATATTTTTACCAAGACAAGTAAGTAATAGAAATCGTTTATTAATATAGGCTATTAATACAGGTGTGCACATATGCATTATACAAGTTAAAAAATGAAATAAAAGGTTCGGTCGGAATTCCAATCACCTGAAGAAGGCCGGAGCGTAAACGGCCGAAACGCTGTGAGTATGGCAATGAAGATGAGGATAACATTCCGAATAATGGACGTAATCATAATACCTCATCTCAGAGATCCAATCACCTGAAGAAGGCCGGAGAGTACCACGGCCGAAGCGTTGTGAATATGGCAAGGAAGATGAGGATAATAGTCCGAATAATGTAAATAATGCACGTAATCATAATACCTCATCTCAGTGATCCGACCACCTGAAGAAGGCCGGTGAGTACAACAGCCGAAACGTTGTGAATATAGCAATGAAGATGAGTATGACATTCCGAATAATGCAAGTAATCATAATACCTAATCTCAGAGATCCAATCACCTCAAAAAGGCCGGAGAGTACAACGACCGAACGTTGTGAATATGGAAAATAAAGATGAGGATAACAGTCCGAATAATGTAAATAATGCAAGTAATCATAATACCTCATCTCAGAGATCCAATCACCTGAAGAAGACCGGAGACTACCACGGCCGAAACGTCGTGAATGTGGCAATGAAGATGAGGATAACAGTCCGAATAATGTAAATAATGCAAGTAATCATAATACCTCATCACAGAGATCCAATCACCTGAAGAATACCGGAGAGTACCACGGCCGAATCGTTGAGAATATGGCAATGAAGATGAGGATAATAGTCCGAATAATGTAAATAATGCACGTAATCATAATACCTCATCACAGAGATCCGATCACCTGAAGAAGGCCGGTGAGTACAACGGCCGAAACGTTGTGAATATGGCAATGAAGATGAGTATGACATTCCGAATAATGCAAGTAATCATAATACCTCATCTCAGAGATCCATTCACCTGAAGAAGGCCGGAGAGTACAACGATCAAAACGTTGTGAATATGGCAATGAAGATGAGGATAACAGTCCGAATAATGTAAACAATGCAAGTAATCATAATACCTCATCTCAGCGATCCAATCACCTGAAGAAGGTCGGAGCGTACAACGGCCGAAACGTTGTCAATATGGCAATGAAGATGAGGATAACAGTCCGAGGTATGTAAATAATGCCAGTCAAAACAACAGAACCTTATGTTCCAATGATGCTAATCCCTCTTCTCTGAACTCTTATTTTATTACGATATAGGCGCCATACCCAACTCTAACGTTGTTATAATAATCTCTATTCCCATTTATTATGATTACTTTCCTTTTGCCCATCCTTATTTCCACGCGTTTTTTCTATATTTTTTTCTATTTCATTTCTTTCTTTGTCATTATTTTTTTATTTTTATTCATTCTCTTATCTCCCTTTAACACTTAACGTTATATTGACGGCGCAAAAGCGGCGTCTTTCAGTTTAAATTTGTAATCATTATTTTTTTTCTTTTACGTTTTTTTTTCTATTCTACAGACATTCTTCTAATCAAAAAAATGTAACTCACCTGCATCGCATTTAACACACCTTCTGTGCAATTTTATTTTTGCGTTACGTAGCAGTAATACTCCCATAAGGCATTTGTTTACTTGTAACAACATACATCTTGTGTCTGATGAGCTGATAATCCGGCGAAACTTTAGTCGCACACCAAAAATTAACTAATTAACACACACACACACACACACACACACACACACACACACACACACACACACACACATATATATATATATAAATATATATATATATATATAATTACATGAATCATTCATACAAAAAAAACAAATATAGAGGTTAATGATTTAAATCTATTTCCATACCTGATGATGTCTGTAGGAACAGACGAAAGCTTGTAAAAACTAAAAAAGACCTTATGCAACTGGAATTTATAAACAGGGATCATATCATTCACATACAGGTTCGGGGTTGATGTATCTTATTTGTATTGTTTGCGAAGATGTATTCTCGCCATTTAAATCATTAACCTCTATATTTGTTTTTTGTATGAATGATTCATGTAATTATAAATTAAATTGCATCTATAATCGAAATATATATATATATATATTATATATATATATATATATATATATATATATATATATATATATATATATATATTAAGAAATGGCCAAAGTCCGACAATTTATTTATTAAAGACATTTTATGTTTAACGTTCTTTTATAGATACAAGTATTTAAGTAAATGCTGTTTATTATAAACAGAGCATTTAGTTAAATACTTGTATCTATAAAAAAGAACGTTAAACATAAAAAATATATATATATATATATATATATATATATATATATATATATATATATATATTATATATATATATATATATATATATATATATATATATATATATATATATATATATATATATATATATAATATATACATATATATATATATTTCTGGTTAATACGGTCAGTTCATCTATCACAAAAGATCTATCTATCTATCTATCTATCTATCTATCTATCTATCTCAGTCTTGTCATATCTATCTATCTATCTATCTATCTATCTATCTATCTATCTATCTATCTATCTACCATCCATCCATCCATCTTTTATCTATCTATCTATCTATCTCATCTATCTATCTATCTATCTATCTTTATCTATCTTAGCTTCTTCATATCTATCTATCTATCTATCTATCTATCTATCTATCTATGTTTTTCTGCAAGACTTCGTTTCTGTCACTCCTCACATGCATATGTGCGCGACCACACACACACGCACATACACACACACACAAACACAAACACAGACATATACACACACACACACACATATGCCTGCGCGATCACGCATGTACATATGTCGGTGCGTGCATTTGTGTATTGGAAATAATCATGAAAATGCCGAGAGCTTAATTTGCCAATAAGAAATAATGAACGCAACATTCTTGAAAGAAACGCATCAATAGTCAAAGATTCCAAAGCTCGTTGAAAACAGGAAGATCACAAGACAGAAACAAGAAGGAACGAAAGAAGCGAAAAAAAAAAACAAACAAAACAAAACAAAAAAAAAAACAGTTGTTGGAAGCAAAGTCGAAATAACTAATTGCCTCAAATAAGCCTAATCAAAGCGAGTCAGCTATTAAATGAAAAAGGAACTGAAAAACATGGACCTACTTACAAGAAAATAAGATGTAAGACATTTCGGCGGAAGGATTTTTTAAACGGTGTACTTAGGCCGCGGCGTATGACGGGGAATATATTGTGGCGCCTTCAGTGTTTGATGGCGAGCAAGTAACTTACGCTGACCCGCTCCCGAGTTTATACAGGACGAATCCTAAAGAATTTTTTTTAAAACGAATGTTTCTTCGGCCTTCTTCAGGTGATTGCAATTTCAAACCAAATCCTTTATTTCGTCCAAAGGGGTAGATTGTTCTACTTTCACGTGCCAAGGGCACGTGGCCCGATGGATAAAGACGTTGGTTACATCCAGTGACTAGGCCCAAAGAGTTGTGAGTTCATTACCAGGCAGTGGTAAACCAAAAAGATTTGGAAAGTTAAGTTAAAGGGAAATAACAGGCACCTAGAAGAGGTATGGCACGTGGAACTAAAACAATCTACTCTACTCTGGTGGATGAGATAAAAGGTTCGGTTCGAAATTCCAATCACCTGAAGAAGGCCGGAGCGTACAACGGTCGAAACGCTGTGAATATGGCAATGAAGATGAGGATAACAGTCCGAATAATGTAAATAATGCTAGTAATCATAATACCTTATCTCAGAGATCCAATCACCTGAAGAAGGCCGGAGCTTACAACAGCCGAAACGTTGTGAATATGTCAATGAAGATGAGGATAATAGTCCGAATAATGTAAGTAATCATAATACATCACCTCTGAGATCCAATCATCTGAAGAAGGCTGAAGCGTACAACGGCTGAAATATTGTGAATATGGCAATGAAGATGAGGATAACAGTCCGAATAAAGGAAATAATGCAAGTAATCATTATAACTAATCTCAGAGATCCAATCACCTGAAGAAGGCCGGAGCGTATAACGGTCGAAACGCTGTGAATATGGCAATGAAGATGAGGATAACAGTCCGAATGATGTAAATAATGCAAGTAATCATATTACCTCATATCAGAGATCCAATCACCTGACGAAGGCCGGAGCGTACAAGAGTCGAAACGTTGTGAATATGGCAATGAAGATGGGGATATCTGTCCGAATAATGTAAATAATCATGATACCTCATCTCAGAGATATAGATAGTTAACATTTAGTCCTTTCTTCTTGCTTTCTTTTAATTTAAAAAAAAAAAGCACAACGTTCCTTCATTAGTTTACCAATAATTGATTGCACAATCTCCTTGTGTTCCTTGACTGTGAATTGTCATGTGTTGCTAGTTAAGATAATGCAATGGTTTCTCATTAACTTCTCCAGAGCTTTGAATCAAGTGTAGTTATGGCAATCTTGGAAATTTCGTGCTGGCAGAAAAAAAAAATGGTTTGTCAAAGGACGTTTTTTCCTCCCGTTTGACGCCACAACCAAAATCAGCCTATTTTGAACAGGCGCACGAGAAATGTCGAAGGTCACATTGTGATCTGACAGCAACGATTAGATTGTCACGGCTGTCACGTTCGAGTATCGGGAGAAGGCAACGTAGAAACGAACAGAGCAAATGAAAGTCGGTAGATTTTTTTAGACAGGTTGACACGCCCGCATACACACGCGTGCGCGGACTACGGACATATTGAAACACCGGTTCTCGCAAGAGTTAAGCAATATCGAGCCTGGTCAGTACCAGGCTGGGTGAACGCTTCAGAATGTCAGATACTGCAACCTTAGATGTGCGCATAGTGTAATGGATAATGGCTTTCCCGCGTAGGTAGATATAATGAACCCGACGGGAATTGGAACTCCGCTCGCTGATTTCAAACTCAGAGCCGTTATCCATTCCTCAACTCACACATCCAAGCTGACAGCATCTTGTATTCTCAAGCGGTCACCTAGCTAAGTACTGACCAGTCTCGATGTTGCTTAACTTCAGTGATCTTACGAGAATCGGTGTTTCAAGTCGATATATTTTTTGAGTTAATAATGATTTTTACTAATACAACTCCTACTATCTGTCTATATTTCTGAGATGAGGTATTATGTACACTATTTACATTATTCGAACTATTGTCCTCATCTTTGTCGTCATATTTATTACAACGTTTCGGCCTTTCTGTATCTGTCTATATTTCTGTGATGAGGTATTATGTACACTATTTACATTATTCGGACTATTGTCCTCATCTTTGTCGTCATATTTATTACAACGTTTTGGCCTTTCACTATCAGTCTATATTTCTGAGATGAGGTATTATGTACATTATTTACATTATTCTGACTATTGTTCTCATCTTTGTCGCCATATTTATTACAACGTTTCGGCCTTTCACTATCAGTCTATATTTCTGAGATGAGGTATTATGTACATTTTTTACATTATTCAGACTATTCTCCTCATCTTTGTCGCCATATTTATCACAACGTTTCGGCCGTTGTACGCTCCGGCCTTCTTCAGGTGGTTGGAATGTCGAACTGAACCCTTTATTTCGCTCATGGGGTAGACTGTTCTAGTTCCTCAAGAACACATGGCACAGTGGATAAAGATGTTGGTTAGATCCAGTGACAGGACCCAAAGAGTGTGAGTTCAATACCTGGTTAAGGCGGTGGAGAACTTGGAGAGGGGAATTAATAGGAGATAACTGATAACTAACATCCATTAGACATGGCACGTGGAACTAGATCAGTCTACCCCAGTGAGCGAAATAAAGGGTTCAGTTCGACATTCCAACCACCTGAAGAAGGCTGGAACGTACAACGGCCGAAACGTTGCCGCCTTTTCTACAAATATTTCATGTATGTTTTTTAAGAGATGATACTGGTTTAGTGATAAAAATCTTATTGAATAATCCACAACTGGGGGGGGGGGAGAATAAGGATTCATACCTTTCCAATATAACGAACCCGACTGGAATTGAAACTCGGCTCTCTGATTAACAATTCCGCGCCGTTATCCATCACATTATACACAAATCCAAGCTTACAGCACCTGCCATTCCCAAGCGGTCATCCATCTAGTTACTGACCAGGTTCGACGTTGCTTAACTTCGCTAATCTTACGGAAACTGGTGTTTCAACGTGATACGGCCCTAAGGCAGACAATTTTATTTGATCTGAGCTGGATACTTAGTCTAAGCACATTATTACCATTAATTACGGTTAACAAGCCTGTCCCGCTAAATCAATTACTACTGAGTAATGAGTTCGATCCTCACTGGGTGCTCTATACTTTTGGCCTTGTGCCACGTCTAAGCTACGCTTAGAAAATCATTTGGTAATTTCGGCGTGGTGCAATGGTTAGCGATCTTGTCTCGCTAGATCAGTTATGTTGAATAGTGAGTTCGATTCTCACTGGGTGCGCTATACGAAAATACATTTGGCGCTGGCATATTTCGGCAATCATCGACGATGGCCTATGTTCCTGTCTATCATGACATGAAAAATAACTCACCCACCTCCACCTTCTGAGATCTTCTATTTAGTGTAGATCTGACATTTAATTGGTTAATCAAGACATACCCTGAAGTCTAATTTTAATTCTGATTTTGTCTCCCTCCTTTACCTTTCGGAAGATAGGTAACATTTTGTTTTAAAATCAAAAATAATCTAATCACCACTTACTTACCATCACCTGAAGAAGTACTCAATATGTTTTTATCACAATTTTTATAATAAATTTATATATATATATATATATATGTGTGTTTATGTATGTATGTGTATGTGTGCCTGTGTGTGTGTGTGTATAATGTTTTGTGTGTAACATTTGAGGAGCAGTATGAAAAATTTGGGCATGAGACGCACAGAAGTCATGACCCGATTCACGTCCACACGCAAAAAGCTACCGCGCTGACAAACTACAAAGCAATTCTCTTCTTTCCCTCTCTCTGTGAACTATGATCAAAGCAAAAGGAGTGGTGGAAAGTAGCCACGAAGAGGAAGAGATAAACAACTGCAAAGAAAGAAAGAATGACAGAAAGAAAGAAAGAAAGAAAGAAAGAGAGAGAGAGTGAGAGAGAGAGAGAGAGGGGGGAATAGAAAGGGATAGATAGAGGAAATAAATATGTCAGACAAATCTTGGCCGAAGTTTATATTTTATTTCAGCTTGAATTAAACTTCGCATAAAGTTACTTTTCTTCGAGGGGTCTTGGATTGTGGGATCGACTATCACTAGCGATGATGTTCTAATTTCTCAGCAAATTTGAACATCCAAGATGTATCACAAAAGCGCACGTCCAAATGCTAGGCGTGCGGTCGCGCGCGCGCACACATATGAGGATAAAATACCGATATCTTTCCTGAGGTTTTTATAAATTGTACACTTTAATTACTAATGTTAACAATGAGATATTTTAAATTACAAAATTGTACTAGGATTAAATGACAATTACTTACAATAGAATACATATTACTTATAATACATTCTTGGCGTTAATTTTGGCGGTAAGGGTACACTAGTACACAGTACACTAGTTACATAATAACTCTCAGTGGACATGGAGCGAAGACCTCCAATTGGTGAATCGATATTACATCCGGACTTCAGAAGCTACTAACGACCCGTTTTCCAAATAATTACATCTTGACAGGAAATCCTCCATGTACTTGAGAAGGTTGCAAACAGAGGAACAATTCTTGAACCGTTGCTCCAGGAACATAGAACGCCGTTCGAATATCGAACCTAATGTTAATTTACCGTATGGAGAAGGAGGTTTCGATCATAAAGGGTGTCCCAGTATAAAAGTAACCCAAATAAACGTATGCGATTTTGTTGAGTTTTTAGACCTTGCTTTTATATATCAAATCTCACCCAGTGAGAATCGAACTCAGTATTCAGTCGTAATTGATCTAGCGAGACAAGCTTGCTAATCATTGCACCACATCGAAGTACCCCGTAGTGTTTTTCTAAACGTCGCTTAGATGTGGCCCAGGGCCGAAAGTATCGAGCATCCAGTGAGGATCGAAATCACTACTCAGCCGTAAATTGTTCTAGCGAGACAAGCACGCTAACCATTGCACCACATCGAAGTACCCCATAGTGTTTTTTTAAACGTAGTTTACATGTGGACAGGGCCGAAAGTATCGAGCACCCAGTGAGGATCGAAATCACTACTCAGCCGTAAATTGTTCTAGCGAGACAAGCACGCTAACCATCGCACCACATCGAAGTACCCCATAGTGTTTTTCTAAACGTAGTTTACATGTGGACAGGGCCGAAAGTATCGAGCACCCAGTGAGGATCGAAATCACTACTCAGCCGTAAATTGTTCTAGCGAGACAAGCACGCTAACCATTGCACCACATCGAAGTACCCCATAGTGTTTTTCTAAACGTAGCTTAGATGTGGCACAGGGCCGAAAGTATCGAGCACCCAGTGAGGATCGAAATCACTACTCAACCGTAAATTGATCTAGCGAGACAAGCTTGCTAACCATTATAGCAATACGAAGTGCCCCATGGTGTCTTCCTAAACGTAGCTTAGATGTGGCACAAGGCCGAAAGTATGGAGCCCTCAGTGAGAATTGAACTCACTACTCAGTTGTAATGGTTTTAGCGAGACAAACTTCCTAACCATTACACCACGTCAAGGTGCTCAAATGGTTTTCTAAGCGTATCTTAGATGTGGCACAAGGCCAAAAGTGTAGAGCACCCAGTGGGGATCGAAACTGAATTTTGAAAAATTCTTAAAAATAATTTTTTTTTTTTTTTTTTAAAGGTGTCTCTATTTCTAGTTCACCAAATCTGAGCTCTGGATTTCGCTACAATATGTTCAGCGCTGACATGTCTAGAGTGTCAATTTATCAAGACAAGAATTTATAACCCATCTCCCTTCACTCTCTGACCTTATTTTTCATTTTTCTCTTTTAGATGAGATCTGACTTTTAATTGGTTACTCCAGACATACCCACAAGTATATGCTTTAATTCTGACATTAGGTCCCCGCCCCTTTCAACTTTCAAAAGAGGTAACGATTTGTTTCCATATTTTCCAAATAAACACCTTTATCCACAGTGCCATAGCGTTGGTTAGATCCAGTGAGAGGACCCAAAGAGTGTGAGTTCAATACTCGTTTAAGGCAGTGGAGAACATTCAGAGGGAAATTAAAAGGAGATAACTGATAACTGACATCCATTAAACATGGTACGTGGAACTAGAACAGTCTACACCAGTGAGCGAAATAAAGGGTTCAGTTCAACATTCCAACCACCTGAAGAAGGCCGGAGCGTACAATAACCGAAACGTTGTGATAGATATGGCGAAAAAGATGAGGACAATAGTCCGAATAATGTAAATAATGTAAATAATGTACATAATACCTCATCTCAGAAATATAGACAGACTATGAAATTTTTTATGTGGCGATGTAAAATGTTTCTATTGCAATCTATTATAATAAAAATATTTTAATAATATTATATATATATATATATATATATATATGTGTGTGTGTGTGTGTGTGTGGACGTAACGGAGTTGGTCCGTAGTATTATGTATCTGTTTGCATATAATTTATTATTACGGATTATGTTATTATTTTTGTTTCAGTTGTATATTGCGTTTGCCTTTCTTCTTGCGTTGTGGACGAAATGATATGGATATTGTAGGTTTTTTGAATGTGTTTTCTATGTATGTTTCTTCTTTAGGTAAATATTGGGGGCTGCAGATTCTTAATGCTCTCGGATGGAAACCTATAATAATTCCAGATTTAATTTTAGAAGAGTGGTTTGAGTAGAAACTGATCAGGTCATTTTTTGTAGCCTTTCTGTAAACGTCAAAATTGAGTTCGTTATTGTTTCCGTGTAACATGATATCTAGGAAGGGAAGGGAGTAGTTGGTTTTAGTATAAAAAACAATATTTCTACACGTGAAAGTACTTGACGTAATTTTCAGTTGACAATATGAATCCAATAACGTTTTCTAAATTCGTCTAATAGCTAAGGACATTTTGTTTGTTGTTAATAGTTACTTTGTTTTCAATAAATCCATATATATGCTTTAAATACTATATATATATATATATAGGAGTATATCCCATGTTGTAAACCACGAATTGGAGATGCTAAAATCGAGTAAGAAAATTTAAATATATTGCAAGAGTTTTAACAGAAAACGGAAAATGATACATTTAGGAGAGCGAAAGATGCCTTCCAAAAGCTAAGCAAAGTATTAAGAAACAGGAACATTCGTTAGAAATTAAGAAAAGGATGCCGGACAGTTACGTAATATCAGACATCGTCGGACGATGGACAATCTACTCACACATCTCTCTCTCTTTTCTCAAACTACATCTCTTCTTATACATCCATCGCTCCCTCTTTTCTACACTCTGTCTCTCTTATAGACTAATTTCTTTTCTTCACTATGCCTCTCACCCTAAGCAGTCTCTCTCTCTCTCTCTGTTTATTTAACCATCTATCAGTTTTAATCACTATCTCTTGTACAATCGCATATATCTCTCTTCTACACTCTCGTCTCACTCACTTCTGCACTATCATCACTCTCTCTCTCTTCCACACTCTATTCTCTCTTTCATCTACACTATATATATATATATATATATATATATATATATATATATATATATATATATCTTCTACACTCTCAGTTTTTCTCCCTGACATTTGCAATCTCATATCTCTCTGTCTTCTACACTCACCTCTCTCTCTTATAGACTGTCAACTCTCACCTATATTTGCATATATATATATATATATATCTTCTACATTCATCTCACTCTCACTTTTGCAGTCTCATACCTAACTCTGTTCTACACACTATTCTCTCTTCTACAATCTCATCTCTCTCGTCAACAGGCGCATATATATTCCGTTCCTACACTCTCATCTCTCTCTCAATTCACTCTCATGCCACCCAGTCTCTCTCTCTTCCATGCTCGCAGCACTCCCTCTTTTCTCTCTCATTTCTTTCTTCTACTATTTCATCTCTCTCTTCTACAGGCATCTCTCTCCCCTACAAGCTGTTCACACTCTCTCTTTCACACTCTCATATCTCCATCTTAACTGCACTCTCATCTCTATCTTTCTTCTACTCTCTCATTTCTCTCTTTCTTCTACTATCTTATCTCTCTCTCTTCTACGGCCATCTCTCTGCGCTACAAGCTCATCACACTCTCTCTTCTACTCCCTCATACCTCCATCTTTACTGCACTCTCATCTCTCTCTCACATTTCACTCTCATATCTCCCACTCTATCTCTCTTCTACGCTCACATCTCTCTCTTCTACTCTCTTTATTCCTCTCTTTCTTCTACTATCTTATCTCTCTCCGTCTTCTACAGTTTTCTCTCTCCCCTACACGTTCATCACACTCTCTCTTCTACTCTCTCATATCTCCATCTTTGTTGCACTCTCATCTCTCTCTCTCTCATTTCACTCTCATATCTCCTACTCTCTCTCTCTCTTTTACGCTCTCTCGTCTACTCTCTCATTTCTTTCTTTCTTCTACTATCTCATCTCTCTCTCTTCTACGGCCATCTCTCTCCCCTACAAACTCATCACACTCTCTCTTCTACTCTCTCATATCTCCATCGTTGTTGCACTCTCATCTCTCTCTCTCTCATTTCACTCTCATTCTCTCCTCTCTCTCTCTCTTTTACGCTCTCATCTCTCTCGTCTACTCTCTCATTTCTTTCTTTCTTCCACTATCTCATCTCTCTCTTCTTCACGCCATCTCTCTCCCCTACAAACTCATCACACTCTCTCTTCTCTCTCATATCTCCATCGTTGTTGCACTCTCATCTTTCTCTCTCTCACTCATTTCACTCTCATATCTCCTACTCTCTCTCTCTTTTACGCTCTCATCTCTCTCTCGTCTACTCTCTCATTTCTTTCTTTCTTCCACTATCTCATCTCTCTCTCTCAAATATCTCTCTCCCCCACGCTCATCTCTCTCTCTTCTACTCTCTCATATTTCCATCTTTGTTGCACTCTCATCTCTCTCTCATTTCACTCTCATATCTCCCACACTTTCTTTCTTCTACTCTCTCATGTCTCTCTCTTCTACTCTCTCATTTCTTTCTTTCTTCCACTATCTCATCTCTCTCTCTTCTACGGCCATCTCTCTCCCCTACACGCTCATCACACTCTCTCTTCTACTCATATCTCCATCGTTGTTGCATTCTCATCTCTCTCTCATTTCACTCTCATATCTCCTACTCTCTCTCTCTCTTTTACGCTCTCATCTCTCTCTCGTCTACTCTCTCATTTCTTTCTTTCTTCCACTATCTCATCTCTCTCTCTTCTACGGCCATCTCTCTCCCCTACAAACTCATCACACTCTCTCTTCTACTCTCTCATATCTCCATCGTTGTTGCATTCTCATCTCTCTCTCTCTCTCATTTCACTCTCATATCTCCTACTCTCTCTCTCTTTTACGCTCTCATCTCTCTCTCGTCTACTCTCTCATTTCTTTCTTCCACTATCTCATCTCTCTCTCTTCTACGGCCATCTCTCTCCCCTACAAACTCATCACACTCTCTCTTCTACTCTCTCATATCTCCATCGTTGTTGCACTCTCATCTCTCTCTCTCTCTCTCTCATTTCACTCTCATATCTCCTACTCTCTCTCTCTCTTTTACGCTCTCATCTCTCTCTCGTCTACTCTCTCATTTCTTTCTTTCTTCCACTATCTCATCTCTCTCTCTTCTACGGCCATCTCTCTCCCCTACACGCTCATCACACTCTCTCTTCTACTCTCTCATATCTCCATCTTTACTGCACTCTCATCTGTCTTACATTTCTATGTCATAACCTAATTTTACACAATCATCAATCTCTCTCTCTCTTCTACATTCTCTTACTTTCCTCTCTCCTCTAAACTCACCTCTCTCTTCTACGCCCTCTCCCCATCACTTCTACACTATCATCTTTCTCTCTCGCTTTTACACTCTCATATACCCCCTCTCTGCAATGTCATCCCTGTCTTCTACACTCACATCTCTCTCTTCTACACCCGTCTCTCTCTATTCTACACAATCATCTCTCTCTTTTTTTATCGACACTCTCATATCTCATTCGCTTTTATACTCTCTCATCACTCTCTCTTCTACTCTCTCATATTTCCATCTTTGTTGCACTCTCATCTCTCTCTCATTTCACTCTCATATCTCCCACACTTTCTCTCTTCTACTCTCTCATGTCTCTCTCTTCTACTCTCTCATTTCTTTCTTTCTTCCACTATCTCATCTCTCTCTCTTCTACGGCCATCTCTCTCCCCTACACGCTCATCACACTCTCTCTTCTACTCTCTCATATCTCCATCGTTGTTGCATTCTCATCTCTCTCTCTCTCTCATTTCACTCTCATATCTCCTACTCTCTCTCTCTCTTTTACGCTCTCATCTCTCTCTCGTCTACTCTCTCATTTCTTTCTTTCTTCCACTATCTCATCTCTCTCTCTTCTACGGCCATCTCTCTCCCCTACAAACTCATCACACTCTCTCTTCTACTCTCTCATATCTCCATCGTTGTTGCACTCTCATCTCTCTCTCTCTCTCATTTCACTCTCATATCTCCTACTCTCTCTCTCTCTTTTACGCTCTCATCTCTCTCTCGTCTACTCTCTCATTTCTTTCTTTCTTCCACTATCTCATCTCTCTCTTTCTACAGCCATCTCTCCCCTCACACTCATCACTCTCTCTCTTCTACTCTCTCATATCTCCATCGTTGTTGCACTCTCATCTCTCTCTCTCTCTCATTTCACTCTCATATCTCCTACTCTCTCTCTCTCTTTTACGCTCTCATCTCTCTCTCGTCTACTCTCTCATTTCTTTCTTTCTTCCACTATCTCATCTCTCTCTCTTCTACGGCCATCTCTCTCCCCTACAAACTCATCACACTCTCTCTTCTCTCTCATATCTCCATCGTTGTTTGCCTCTCATCTCTCTCTCTCTCTCATTTCACTCTCTCATATCTCCCTACTCTCTCTCTCTCTTTTACGCTCTCATCTCTCTCTCGTCTACTCTCTCATTTCTTTCTTTCTTCCACTATCTCATCTCTCTCTTCTACGGCCATCTCTCTCCCCTACAAACTCATCACACTCTCTCTTCTACTCTCTCATATCTCCATCGTTGTTGCACTCTCATCTGTCTTACATTTCTATGTCATAACCTAATTTTACACAATCATCAATCCCTCTCTCTCTTCTACATTCTCTTACTTTCCTCTCTCCTCTAAACTCACCTCTCTCTTCTACGCCCTCTCCCCATCACTTCTACACTATCATCTTTCTCTCTCTCTTTTACACTCTCATATACCCCCTCTCTGCAATGTCATCCCTGTCTTCTACACTCACATCTCTCTCTTCTACACCCGTCTCTCTCTATTCTACACAATCATCTCTCTCTTTTTTTTTCGACACTCTCATATCTCATTCGCTTTTATACTCTCTCATCACTCTCTCTTCTACTCTCTCTCTCTTCTAATCTCTCTATTTTACACTCCCTCTCTCTACAGTCTCATCTCTGTCTTCAACACTATCACCTCTCTCTCTCTCTCTACTTCTATACTCTTATCACTCTCATTTTTATACTCACTCATCTTCATCTTTTCTACTCTCACTTGTATACTCTGTCTCTCTCTTCTACATTCTCATCCCTCTCTCTCTCTTTTTTCTACTTTCTTACCACTCTCTTTCTTCTACCATTTCATCTCTCTCTTTCTTCTACACTCTCATCATTCCCTCTCTCTGATTTCTCTATGTCTTCTACATTCCTATTACTCTCCTCTTGTTCTTGTAACGGCATCCACCCGGGGTGGGTCGAGCCGGCTCCAATAATGGAGTTTCATGGGAATTTGGAATTCACAAGCGGTCCCCACCCGCATTTATAGCACATAAGATTTGATTATAGTGGTGAAGGTTTCGTGCAGGACCATCCACCGTTTTTGAAGGGCCGAATACAGAGACCTGGTGCACTACGTGCCACAAGGACCCAAACGACCCTCCGCAGGTTTTGAATTCAGTTTTCCTTCTCCTAGACTTGTTGGCATCCAAGGCTATAGAACCCAGTCTATTCTGCTATTTTACCCATAGCTAGAGGGAGAAGAAGAGGATTCACACCTTTCCCAAGGGCATTAGCACGTAAGTGAATGTAATGGATTCGACTGGAATTCGAACTCGGCTCTCCGATTCCTCAATCTGAGTTGCTATCCATTACTCCACCGTGCCTCCGTGCCTACAATCCTATTACCCTCTCACTTCGACACTCTCATCGCTCTCTTCTACGTTTTCATCTCTCTCCCTTCATCATTCTCTCTCCCTGTTCTCTTTCTCTCTACTACACTCTAATCTTTCTCTCTTTTTTCTCTTTTATTACTCTCGCATCTACAATCTCATCTCTCTCTCTCTCTCTCTCTCTCTATATATATATATATATATATATATATATTGTACGCTCTCCTATCTCGCTCTCTTTTGCACTCTCTCTTTTTATTTATTTCTCCCTCACTCTGTTAGATGTATCACTTTCTCTCTTTCTTTCTCCCCCCACCTTTATTTCTGCCCCCTCTCTCTCTATCCATCACTGATTTCATAATCGTACTCATTCCGTGTTTCCTTTAGATTACAACCCGCAATTAACGTCCTTCCTGGTAACCCAAATATTTGCTCCAAGCCACGTGTAATTAACGCAAGAATGGACACGCCATCAACACACTTTCCCCTAATACCACCTCTTTCTTAAAAAATCTGAGGGGGGGGGCACACGTAATCAGGTCTTTTTACCTCTGGGGCGTCTTGTTACAGAGTGAATGCGTCAGTCAGGGGCAGGGTGATTATAGATTGCTCAGAAAACCTGGTGGGCGTGGTGTTCTGACAGTGAAGACCAAGACCGTGCGATGCCCGGTAGAGGTGCTCAATAATTTCGTAGCGTCGATATGCATCCCACAGTCAGATTCGATAGACTGCCCCCCCACCTGACGAGATGCTACCTCAACGAGTGGGTATTATGCGTTCCCCTAAAATTTTTCTTCCTGTTGCCTCACTAAATCTTTGCTTCCACGTCTGTCCTTCTAAAAAAATACGAAAAGAAAATCGCCTTTCGCTGAAGCAATCAGTAAAGTAAGCTTTGAAGTTTCGAGCCCGTTTCGAGGCGGGGGTGGGGTGACATTCTCTCCTGCTTTGAAACTTTCCCTGAAGAATTTAGATTTCAGAAAACAGAGGCTTCAGAATCTCTTGCCCTCTTCTTTAACTACTCACCTTGATAATGAGAAGAATTCATAAGACAACTCCCCCCACCAAAAAAAAAAAAAACAGAATACAACTGACATGGAGAAGGCAAAGAATGGAAAGGCCTAAAAAAGATAGACAGAGTGAGAGAGGAAGAAATATATTTAGATAGAAACAGACTTAAATTGGAAGTTTGAGAAACAGAGTAAGATAGATAGATAGATATGAACAGAATGAGATTAAATATATATATATATATATATATATATATATATAGATATAGATATATATAGATAGATAGATAGATATGAACAAAATGAGATTAAATAGATAGATAGACAGATATAAACAGAATAAGATTAAATAGATAGATAGATAGATAGATATGAACAGAATGAGATTAAATAGATAGATAGAACGATAGATATGAAACAGAGGTTGGGAATAGGTATATATATTTTTTCTTTATCTATCTATCTATCTATCTATCTATCTATATATATATATATATATATATATATATATATATATATATATATATATATATATATGTAGAGAGAGAAAGAGACAGAAAGGCTGAGAATATATATATATATATATATATATCTGAAGAAATATACTCTTAAGATGTGCTATATTTATGGGATAAAGTGCTCAATACCAGAGATAGAGCGTGTGTAGATATAAAAGTGAACATTGAAGTCAACACTCAGAGGCGACAGGCTTTTTCTTGCTAGAGGCAATCGTTGGGCCAACCTCTTCATATATATATATATATATATATATATATATATATATATATATATATATATATATATATATAATTATTTTAAATAATTATATTTATGCTCTACTTTTGTATCGTGCACTATTTTTTAAAAAATAATAACAAGAATACTAAAGAACTTTGGATTATTTACCTAACGAGTTCTTTCCTATTTTCTATATATTTTTACACACACACACATATATATATATATATATATATATATATATATGAAGAGACTGAGAATAGACAGAGAGATATGAAGTGATTCAAAACAAACAGATAAATAGATATGTAGATTGATATGAATAGAACGCGATAGATAGACCGATCGATAGATAAATTTACAGAAATAATTTATACGAACATAGATTAAGATAGGGTCAATCCCAGAGCGGAATGGATATTGAAATGGAGCACGATAGATATAAAGAAAGATAGATATGAACAAACTAATATATATATATATATATATATATATATATAAGACGGAGACAGAGAGAGAGAGAGAGAATGAGAGAGAGTGAGAGAGAGATATGGACCAAATGAAATAGAGAGATTAGATAGATATAAAGAAATAACACACACATACACACACACACACATATATATATATGTATAGATAGACCGATAATGAACACAATGAGATACACATAGATAGGTATGAACGAACTAATATATATATATATATATATATATATATATATATATAAAGGGTGTGATGGCTAACTTGTGGTCTATATTAGGCAAAATGAAAAATAACACTGACATCCCATTTTAACAGATATATTTACCAAAATTACACCAAAATATTTTAAAATACTA